GTTCCACAACATCCATATTTTACTTCTTTCATCTTCCCTATGGACAAAAATGTTCATCCAAGCCACACTCAACTTCAGTACCTTGTTATTGATGCTTGTAAGATAATTATATATCTGACTCCAAATGTGTTATGCAATTTAACCTTGTGTTTCACCAAATACTGACATGCTCAGAGTCTTTAAGCAGCAATTGTACAAAGAAATAATTATAGTTAACCTAGTTCTACCTCAAGTAGTGATATAAACTTCAGTTCTTTTCATTCCTGTCTCTCTACAAATCAGGAAGGGAAGTTGAAGATCTTCATAGGTCTTTTGACTATCTCTCACAATCTAGGTGATTGATTATCATATGAGAATAATTATTGTAAATAAAACCCTTAGAAAAGAGAGGCCCTATACAAAAAGCTAGATAAGTTGTTTTGGTACTTTGCACTGCATCATACTTCACACTGTGGCAACAAAAAGGAAGTCAACTATCCTCCTACTTGACAGAAAATAAACAATCAGCAATTGTGTGCTAATGCAGAAACCCTAAAGCATCCTGGGAATAAATGTGGTTATTTCTAACTTAGATTCATATCTATAAAATTCATGTCAATGAGCCAAAAGAATACAAAAACCTTAATCTTATGAGATTAAACTAAATCTTCATTTTGTACATGAGTGCTGAATAAGGTCTCCTGCACACTGCAGTTGTCACAAGACTTCTGTAACATGCATCGGCTCAATGCCACCTCTGCCCTTTGTCACTTAAGAAAAGTGTATGTCACCTCACTCCCCGAAGACCTTAGACATGCATCTGGTTCAGCCATTCTGCAGAACAAGGATAACTGCTGCATTTAACCATTTCTTCACTTTCCTCTTACACAACAGACTACTTCATCACTAAGATTGAAGCCATGTTCAGCAGCCTCTGCTTTTACCCACTTCTGTTCGTCCGCCAAGTCTAGGTATCGTCTAATTTTCATCTTACCCTAACCCTGAAACTACTTGTCTCCTCTTTAGTTTTTCTTCTATTTCTGCCTCATCCATGAGATCTACTTCCTGCTGTGCAAAACTGGGGAGTACTTGACTTCCTTTTGTGGTTTGCATGATAGCTGATGTTGTAAATAGCTTTGTCTCATCAAGTACTGAACCTGTTTTTCAAAGCCATCAGCATCACCACCTGACTTCTCAAACTCCTACTCATGATCTTTCTGTGGACCAGCCATGTAAATGTCACAGCAAAGAGCAGTTCAGAAGCTAGGTATTCCTGGGTATAGCAGCATGGTTAACATAACATTGCAAAATCTAACCACCACTTGCAAGGAACAAATTGGTATGATCATGAAATACACTTGTCTCAATACACACACCTATAATAACAGCACCATAGTGGACACTGATCAGCACCTTATCCACCAGCCTAAATTTCCTCCCTCTCTTCCACTACCAGCATACTTAGTTGAAATGTCTCCTATCTACAAGGCTAGAAGTTCTGGATTTAATCTGATTTATGGTGGTAATGTTGTGGACCTCAACTAGACAATAATTGAGATGCTACCTTGGTTCTACTAGCTAGAGAGGGCAGGATGTGGTTAGGGCTTTCGTTCCTGGTGTTTGACCAAGCCACCAGAGGTTTCACTCTTCACTCACTCCTGAGTTGATGGCAAGAGTTCAAATTTAAAAGGGAGTTGATATTGCCAACTTAATGAATAGATAGTTTTTTTTAAGTTCATTCATAGAATGTGATTGTTGCTGGCTGGGCTAATATTTATTGTCCATCTTTAATTGCCCTTAGTTTCATTGGCTTAGTCATTTCAGAGTCAACCACATTGCCATGAGCCTAGAGTGGTCTATTTTCTTCCCTAAAGGACGTGAGTGAACCTTTTGAGTATTTATGACAATTGGCAATTGCTCCATGGTCAACATTGGACCAGCTTATAATGCTTCACTTTGTACAACATGGTGTAAGGAGTAGGCCAGCCAAAATACTTAAATTAAGAAATCTCAGGGGCAACTTTTTCACACACACACAGTGGTGTATATGTGGAATGAGCTGCCAGAAATGGTAGAGGCGGGTACAATTACAACATTTAAAAGACATTTGGACGTTTACATGAATAGGAAAGATTTAGAGGGATATGGGCCAAATCAGGCAAATGGGACTAGTTCAATTTAGGAAACCTACTTAGCATGGATGGGTTGGGGCAAAGGGCCTGTTTCCATGCTGTACACCTTTATGACTCTAAAGAATCAATTCTTTTGCTGAAACTCTTTCCAGCAAAGATGCAGAAATTATTAACAAATGGTTTAAAATGTACCCTACAAATATAACTAACTCTCACTAATGGAGAAACAACACACTCATGATCTCTCCAAGCATGCAAAAAAAAAGTTTGCGTACAGAGTATCTGCATACTCTGATATTCTGCAGAGTATCAAACCTTAAATCTTGGCCAAATAAAAGTTAGTCAGAAGAACACTAAAGGATGTATTGTCTCTTTTAAAAGAGTTTGTTGTTTCCAATTACTCATGAAAAAATTTGTGTTGTTAACACAGAATATCTGTGGTGTCTATCGGGTAAGCCTTTATCGTCTATTGTACTTCAACTCCATTTTTTCATTGGTCCCAAAGTTTGAATCTAAGCAGTTAATTCTAGGTCATAGTTGTTTGTACCGATGTCCAAGGATAGTGTGGAATTCTGCCCACATCTTTTTTTTTTCATTGACCTGTGAGATGTGGGTGTTGCTGGCTGAGCCAGCATTTATTGCCTATCCTGAATTACCAATAAGAACGTGGTGTTAATCTGTGTTCTTGAATTACTGCAGTCTATGTGCTGTAGGTATACCCACAATGCGTTAGAGAGGGAAATGTCATTGGAACTGTACTCATCCAGGAAAGTGAGGAATGTTCCATCACACTTTTGACTTGTGCCTTCTAAATGGTGGACAGGCTTTGGAGAGTCAGGTGGAAATTTATTCTTCACAGTATTCCAAGTCTCTGACCTGTTCTTGTAGCCACTGTATTTGTATGATGAGTCCAATTGAGTTTCTGCTCCATGGAAACCCCCCCAGGATGTGGATAGTGAGGGATTAAGTGATGGTAATGCCATTGAATGTCGAGGGGCAGTGGTTAGATTGTCTCTTATTGGAGATGGTCATTGCCTGGCATTTGAGTGGTGTGAATGTGAGTTACCACTTGTCAGCCTAAGTCTAAATCTTGTTCAGGGCTTCTCGCATTTAAACATTAACTGCGTCTGTATCTGAAACTTGTGAATGGTGCTGTGCATTGTGCAATCATCGGTGAACATCCCCATTTCTGACTTTATGATGGAGGGTAGGTCATTGATGAAGCAGCTGAAGGTGACTGGGTCTAGGACAGCACTCTTAGCAGCTCCTGCAAAGATATCCTGGAACTAAGGTGACTGACCTCCAACAACTACAACCATCATCTTGTGTGTCAGATATGACTGCAACCAGTGGAAAGAATGGATAAAATATCTTCAGTGCTGCATTAGCAAGTGCAGATATAGGCTTTTTTTTTAAGTCGTTATGTGTCTCAAACTTATTTTCTCCCTTGATTTGTTCAAGTATTAGAAACTCAATGTTAATTCTAAAGTAACAAATTTTCATTTGTATGGTAATTCAATGTTGTAAAATGTTACAACATGCTTGACTATAGTTAAGCAGGTGGGTAACCTACCATCCCAAAACTCGAATTTATCAGGTACCAGCATGGGTAAGAATATGTAATAACTTCACCCCTGATATTTCTGTAAACTTTCTATAGCAATTTGACAATTGGCCAGATTGTCGTCTTTTTGTCATTTGGACTAAATCAGAAACTTAATGGATTGAATCCATTTTCACTGTGTGTGTTGGTGCTCATTGTAGTCATCCCATTCAATATCAATTTGAGATTTTAAAAATATATTTTCTTTGGCAGTCATTGTCTAGTGGGGTACCTCCGAGATCAGTGCTGGGATCCCAGCTATTCACAATATGTAAATGATTGATTTAGATGAGGGAACTAAATGTAATTTCTCCACATTTATAGACGACACAGACCTGGGTGAGAATGTTAACTGTGAGAAGGATGTAGGGATGCTTCATGTGTGATTTGGACAATTTGAATGAGTAAGCAAATAAATGTGTGATTATTCACTTCGGTAGCAAAAACAGGAAGGCAGATTATTATCTGAATGGTGATAGATTGGAAAAGGGGGGAGTGCAATGAGACCTGGATGTCTTTATACACCAGCCACTGAAAGTAAGAATACTGGTACAGCAGCCGACGACGAAGGCAAATGGTATGTTAGTCTTCATAGTGAGAAGATAAGAGTACAGGAGCAGGGATATCTAGCTGCAGTTGTACAAGGTCTTGGTGAGACCAGACCTAGAGTATTCTGTGCAGATTTCTAATCCTTATTTAATGCAGCATGTTCTGGTTATAAAGGGAGAACAACAGAGGTTTATCAAAGTGATTCCTTGGATGGCAGGACTGACATGAAGAGAGACT